GTGTTCCGATATTTTATATCTCATTTTCGGATTTGGCAATTTTTAGTGTGAATTGGATTTAACTTTAGTGTTCCTTACACCTCAGGCTTTTAAACCGGGGTCCTCATTGCCCCTTATCTCGACGGGTTGATCATAAACCATGGAAAATATTTCACGTATTTCTATACCAAATTTGGGATGAGCTTGAGTTGTTGGGATCCAACCGGCGAGTTGCCGCCAAGCATTATTCCATACGCACACGTCCTAAGCTTGTAGCTTTCTTCTGGAACCGAGAATGATTTTCCCTTGTGAATTATGTGGACGAGTTATGCATGAACCCGGCAAGATATTCTGTATGTGTAATTGGGTAACGAATGAGCTTGATGTAATTAATAAGGTAATCCCTTGGTATTGGGATTAATCTCCGTGTGTGCTCCACCATGCCCATTGGGGTAATGATTGGAGGTGTATGTCGATAATGTGATTATAACATGCTCATGCATATGTATGTATATATTGGGTACATAGGATGTACCGTATCTTTAGCCAGTAGATAGATTGCTTTATGGCGTTACGGACTTCCACTGGATAGGTCTCTGTGAGGGAGTTTTAGTTGACCTGGGATCATAGAGCTGTTATCCGTTGAGGAGCACTCTAGGAATGTCTCGGGTGTATTGGATGGAGGGTGCCTTGGATGATGTTTTAGGAACACATTCATGGATGAGGGCCCGTAGGCTATATGTCGAGGCCAATAGGCCGGATATTACGTGGTTTTGGCTATGACCATTCCAGCTTCATCGTATGTTTTTTCCCAGTGCATCCATACTTCTCTAAATCTCTTGCTTTATCCCTTTTTGGTTGTTAGGATTTATTATTGTACATTTACATCTGAGTAAGCCATTGGACTGAGTGATCTCCAGAACCTCTGGGTTACTGAGATATATTCATATATCTCACCCCTCGTTTGGGGTATTATTTCAGGTGGTTGTAGCGGGCCTAGAGCCATGGGCAAGAGGCCCACAGGATGAGCTTATGGAGTTAGGAGCATTTTGTATTTTGAGGCCACATTTGACATAGGCTAGACTTAGAGCACGAACGTTGTATAGTGCATTATGGTTATGTATCATGTCTTATTTGTTCATACTTCATTTTGGCTAAGTCTAGTTGATGGCATATTTTGTTGTATTTTGAGATACCTTGTTGTATTTATGCTTACCGTTTGGAGAGTAGTAAATTCATAATTATGAACCTTGTGTAATATTTAAAGCATGTATGTGATAAAAGGACAATAGGCCTATTTTAGGTTATGTTTTATATGCAAATTTGTTAAGAATGCATGCAATTGGATAATGTGAATGTAATGAGTTTAGGTTTTGATAAAGTTAACAAATGGATTGTAAATGGATGAGAATATAGTAAATTGTTATGGGTTGTAAGTGCACCAATACATTGTTGGTCCTTGAGTGCCACCCTTATCTATTAGGTACCCTTGAGACATAAAAACACACTTTTGATAAAGTGGATAGGTTGAATAAACAAAGGAGGTGCTGTCAAAATTTATACTAAAATGGCAGTTTTCAGGCTGAATTTGAGAGAGCATATCTCCCTCCACAGAGGTCCAATCGGTACGTCTCATATATCATTTTTAAGTTTGAGATGTTAACCATGTTGTATCAAAATTTGGTAGCATTTGAGGCTGTGTTGCAACCTCTAGACGCGTTTGAGTGGAGACTGCCCAAATGGCCCTGAACATGGGGGCTGTCGGATCACTGTCTTGAAAAAATTATTCCTCCCTCAATTCTTACTCAAATTAGGCTCATGTTATGCGAAATTAAAGATTAAGGTGTCTAGTTTACTGTAGAAATATTTGAGAGTAATTTGTGGAGTAATTTGTTCAGAATTGCAGAAATGGTAAGGTATGTTTGGTGTCCTGTTTTGGGTTGGCTGGCAGTTCTCCAACTTCAAACGGAGATAACCGGAGCAAATGAGAACTTTATGGGGCGTGTGATACCTTGTTGGAAATGTGATTGAGTCTAGAATAACATACTAAAATATGAGAGTCTTGTAACCACTATATTTCGCACAGTGTCCAAAAGACTGAACCATATTCAGTTATGCAAAAATCGTAAAAGTGATAATTATGCTAAATGAGTTTATGGTAACCCCTTAGTGACTTAAGATAAACATTGTATGATAGTTAGGCATTTATTTTATTTATTTCGCATTTAGATTTCAATTATGATCACAGCTTTTGTCATTACATTTTATTATTGTTTTTAAATGCTTATGTAATGAAAAGGAAAAAAGTTTACTCACATTTTTAAATGAACTGCTGTGATTGTAACTGCACTTAATATCATAATCAATGTTAATAATACATGTGTACAACGGGCTATTACATGGATGACCTTTGATTTGTTAGCAAGATATTAATTTCTTAAATGAAATTAGAGCTTTTCTATCTAAAAGTTTTGAATTGAAAGACCTTGAAGAAGTCTCATTTTTCCATAGAATATAAGTGTTTGAGATTCTTTTGATTCCCTTATTTAGTTAGAGTTATATTCTTGTTTTTTAATGTTTTAAATTCTTTTGATTCCCTTAATTAATGAGAGTTATATTCAAAGCCTCCTTTTAAATATTTTAGATTCTAAAAGTGGAAATTATATTTAGTTTGCTTTCGTGTTACTTTTGTATTCAAACTTATGATGATTTTATAATATTTGTTTGAATTTTTTTAATTAATGATTATCATTATCATTATTTCTTCTGTCAATTAAGAAATATATGTATAAAATAGTATCTTTAAGCATGTTGTCATTGTGGAGTGCCTCCCAAAGTTGAGTGTAAGCCATTTTTGTTGATTGAAAGAAAGCAAAATTTTCAGATGATGACAGGTACTGAATGCCTGGGAGAGGAGCAAGACGAGAAAATGGCTGAATGTTGCTTTTGGCTTTGAACTTCCCCATTTCCTCTATCTTTTTTTCCAGTTTCTTGCATAAAAGATATCGTCCCCAGGTTGGACACCATCCTTCAAGGCAATTGTTGTTTGTGTCCATCTTTTGTTCAAGATCCTCCACCTCTTTCAGTAGATTTTCCACATCTTCCAGCCATTTATCCACCGATTCTTCAGTTACTTCAGCTCTATCCTTGGCTTGCTGAACACGAACCAGCATGCTATCTCTTTCGGATGTCAGCTCCTTCTTTTCATTCTCAAGATCTATGATTACTTTATTGGGGAAAAAGAAGTATTGTCCATGGCGGATTGCTGGCTCCACCATATATTTAGCACCATTAGTCACAACGGCCTTAGCAATATTAGGAATGAAATCCATGGTAACGTGACAACAGAATCATGTGCAGTGTTTGTGATGCGTGAAATCAATTAGAAAGAAAGACAAACTTTGACTGAAGTAAAAATGATGGATATAAGTATAACTCAAATTTTAGGCCAACACTCAGAAGCCTAATATTACAAAAGAACAAACTTATATTATATCAAATACACAACTTTGTGTTTAATCACATATAAATATCAAATATAAACAGTGGGTTTAAGTCTAATCGTAGAAGCATATTCATACCTCGTGAAGACGAAGATGCAATGTTAGCTTAGCTGAGTTGGGAATCACAGATGCAAAGATGGATGCTTGTGCTTCTACTTTTACTTGACGATCACAAACTGCAATGTTCTCTTTTCTTCTTTAATGATGAATCGCAAAGTTAAAGAGATTGGCCAACCATTACCCACACGGCCACACCACACATACTCCCTTCAGTACGTGAACATGTGCTGAACCTAATATCCTTTGCTTGGATATTCGTTTTAAAACTCATTTTTAAGGGCAAGCTTATTGAGATGGGTCAATGATTCTCTCCGTTTTTTCACATCTACTCTTCTCAATTTCTTAACCGGTGCGGACATTTAAAAATAAAATATATTCTTAATTCAAAAAAATAATTATTATATTTTATTAATATTTTTTCTGATTTTACTTAATAAAATGTCAAGAGATAACGATAAATGTTTAAAAATAATAATATATGCTTAAATTTATAAAATTACCAAATAATCAAAAGAAAATAGAATTTATAGAACTATAAGTATTTTTAATCAAAAGGAATAATAATATATATCCTCTCTCACTGTATCTTTTTGTTTTTGCAATGGAGAAACTCTCTCATATTATTTTTTCTGGTAACTTATGGAAGCCTATATTTGCATGTAATAATAGCCCTGCCATTTCTTATCTTGTGTTTGTTGATGATCTCATCATATTTGCTAAAATGTCTAAGTCTCTTTGAAGAGATTTCTGGTCTCAAGCTTAGTATTCAGAAGACTTCTATTTATTTTTCCAAAAATATTCATGATACTCTTAATGAATTACTGACAGTCAGAAATGATTTTAAGAGGACAAAAAATATTGTCCGATATCTGGGGACTTGGATGATTCATGGAAGAACTACTAAACAACATTTTGCGCATATTATAGATAAATTGGCTTCCAAATTAGGTGGTTGGCAGCGCTTATCTTTGTCTCAAGTTTGGCGTATTACATTAGAAGACTCGATTCTCTCATCCATTCCTTATTTTTATATGCAACACGAAAAATTGCATGTTGGTATATGCATGGAAATTGAGAAAAATGATTACGAGCTTTATTTGGGGTGATTCTCAAGATCACAAGAAAGCTCACTTGTTAGGCTGGGACATCCTCCAGCGACCCAAGGAGAAAGGAGGTTTAGGTCTAGAAAGTATTGAGTGCTATGAATGATGCGTTCCTATGTAAACTGATTTGAAAGTTGTGTTCAGATGAGCAGTCTTTGCGGAGAAGGGAACGAGATAAAAAAAGTATAGAGCGAGATCTTTTGAGCAATCACCGTCGTATAAATGCAGTTACTTGACTAATTTCTGATATTTCTTAGGATTAGAGGGGGGGGGGTTTTTCCAACCCCGCCTCCATATCTCAATTTTCCCCAAATGAATTAGTATGACTAAGTTTAGCCATGAGTGCATGTATATACCGATTATTGAGATAAATTTCATGCTTATGATCAATCCAGAGATATAAACTAACATAGTTCAAAAGTTATTATAATGTAAACAACTATGTAGCTGAACTGGCATATGATGGAAACAAACCAATCATGCTCTCTGCACTGAAAAATTAAGAATGAAATCTTTAACTTCATCATTAGCCCTATCCAGTGCTGTCCGTCCATCTGCATCTCTTACATCATATTTTGCTCCAGCTCTCAAGAGTTCCTCAATTTTTGGCTTGTCACTTTCTGAGGTCGCTAATAGCAGTAGGATATCGACGGGGTGAATGTTTTGGTTTAGAAGAGCCTCCATTTTATCGTATGTTCCCTCAACAGCGAGCATCCCCATATAGTTGAAGTACTGCAAAAGATTATGTAGATATAAAGTTTCTGACTATTGCTGTATCATAAAAGCATTTTCGAATCACATGCATTTTCCCTTCCAAATTACAATACATAAGGACAGTCAATAAAAAAAGGGGAACAGTCTAATAGTAGCACTGAATATTAGCGTTGTTGAAATTAGATTAGTTTGGGAAATTTGAAACTCAGGATATCTGCAATAAATCCATTTGAAATAGTAGAAAATTGGAAATGTCAAATAAATACTATAAAGTTAGACTCTGATTTCTTCCAGGGTAGTACCAGTATCAAGATGGCAATGGCTATGCTTACCTTGTCAACCATATTTATCATCTAATGCAGCATTGAACAGAGAAGATACCCAATAAAGTTACACTGTTTTAATTGAACTATACACAAATAAATTTAGAGATACCCTTGTAACTTGTTATTACAGATACCTGAAGGTCATAAAAAAATTTCTACATGACTGTTTATGTCACCTTGTGTGATTCCTCCCTCCAAACAGCTTTACAACAAAGCAGAGATATTCTACTGCCGAGAAAATTCAGGCAATGTGTACATTTGACTTATTTATGAGAGACATGTATGTTTTGGGGTTCGTATGATATAAATTTTAAGATGAATTCATCATATTATATCAGATATGTGCAGAGGATGAGAGGATTTAAGCGTAGAAATTATCAACAAAGTAATTAACTTTGTAAGTTACTTATCACAGTATCCAATTCCTTCCTTTAAAGTAACTTCAGATCCTCATATAAAGTGTCATCTAACATTGTTAACCTAGACATATTCCTTCTCCTGAATATAAATTATGTCAAGTGTTATCTAACATTCTGAGTCTCTAAAGAGTATTCAGTCTTTTCCAATGACACAAAATGCAGATGATCTAATCCTCTCTTGTTGTCATTTACAAACACTGAAAAGTTTTGATAAAAAAACTAAATCATTTTGAAAGTGTTGAAGACTTCATCTGATCCTTCACATGACTCCATGACAATTGTCTCAATGAGACGTGTTTATAAGGTCTTTTTTATTTACTAAATGGAGGATGACTCAATGGAAACTTAAAGTTGGGCAAAGAGCTAACAGATTTAAGCACATTTCAATCACAGCAATTCCAACCCAAAACAATTTCCCATCTTTATTGAAGAAATACAAAATTACTGACCTATCTTCATTACTGCCTCTTTCCTTCTTCAATTATATTTCCCTTTCCTTTTCCTAGATTTTTTTGTCTAACAAAAAAATACTTTTAATAAAATTCTCATCTTGACCTACTCTGGCATTGAAACATGAATGAACATGTACTCAAGTTTCTCTTCAGGCAAGTTATATGAAATTGAAAATCACAATGGAAATTGTTCCCACATCTTCAGAGTCACTCCAATAACATATACTAGTAATGCATGAACACAAACCTCCATAGTTGCACAAGTTCAAAATCCCTAAACAACTAACATCATTCTTATTCCTTACTAGTTGTAAACTCCTAACAAAAAAAGAATAAAGAAATAAAGATGAAAATCTATACCAGAATCACAAGCACAAGTGTGACATAATTCCATACACAAAAAACATAAATGGGAACAATAATTTATAGAATTTTAGTTACCAACCTGTTCAACATCATCTCTATCAAAATCATCACGGGTCTGACTACCATAAATGCCAGCACCTTCAGCATCAATACCATTCTTACCAAATTTGAACCAGCATGTGGCTTTGGAGCCATTGGAGGGTCCAATTTGAGATGTGAGTCTAAGCCACCCAACTCTTTTTCTGACACCCAGAAACCGAGAAGACAAGTTTGAGGAAGAAACTGGTGAAGGCAATGCATTAAACTTAGAAGTGATGGGTTGGTGGGTGATGCATGAGATAGAAGCCATTGTTGAGTTAAACAAAGAAACTTAGCTTGTTCCACTTTCACTTCTATCCATCCACATGTTTGAAAGATAGATAGGGAAATGATACTGTGCTTTCCATTCACTTCATGTATCTGTGCAGGATTGTTTTGAGCCGTTCATATATGGTTTGGGGCCACGGGTTCAGATAAGGACAACACCAACAACATTCTTACATAGTTTTTTTTTTTTTTTCTTATCTGAAATTTACACAATCTTACATCGATAAGATATTGGATAATATTCTAATAACTGTTTACAAATGGTTCTAGGCATATACTTTTTATGGTTTATGTAAGTATCTTTTTTTTCCTTAATTAATTGATATAAAATGTTCATTTATATACTCATAAATTCATAAAACGAGCAAGAAATGAAAACTATACTTTGTGTTTGTGGGCTTTTAATGCTTCATCCATATGATGATTATTATATGTTTTATCTTCAACTACTTGTTTGTAGGATTCAATTTCATGCTAAAAGGCTTTCATGTTATATAGCAAGGTTGTAATTTATATGAATTAGATAAATCTGTAACACCCCGTTCTAGAACCGGTTTGTTAACATTGCTTTATGATATTAAGCGCAGTTACAATCATATTGGTTTAATTAAAAATAAAAATTTGGATAAATTTTTCATTTTCTTTTTAAAACTTACTTGCTTTTCCTTTTAACAATGTCGAGTTTAAAATAACAAATTGCATGACCATAACCTTATTACCTTGCGGAATAATCAAAACTAAACTTAACATCATATTATTATTTTGTTCAAGTTCAGTATTAAACTCTCTTCACTTCTTATTAAAATGGAATTTCTATACTTACTTTATAGTTCTCATCTCACACTTTGTTATAGATCTCTCAGTTAGCTTTGTGTGGGTTCAAATCGCGCTCAAAAGGGAGATCTGTAGCTTGAGTTATACCAATTTTAGTAAACTAGTTTGGTGCTGTTTTCGGGATGCGCGCCCGAGCGCTAAACTGGGCGCTCAAGCGCCCAACGACGAAGAATTTTGCCATCGTCGGGTTTTTCAGCGCGTTTGGGCGCGCAGTATCGCGCTCGAGCACCCAAATCAGCGCTTGAGCGACCAAATCAATGCTTGAGCGCCAAAAGGCAGGGGATTTCACTCATTTTCACGTATATATCGCGCTTGAGCGCCCAACTCAGCGCTTGAGCACCCTACACCTGGGGCAGACTTGGTCTCCCCTGTTTTTGGTGAGTTTCTTGGGGAAATTTCATTCCCCTTTCATTCTTTAAGGGTTATTATACCTAATTGACAAGGAAAGGCCAACCATAGTCACACACCAGGTGGCACCTACATTCCATAAACACTTTACCAATTCATCATACAAATCAAAATGATAAACATATTCATCAATACTTCAAAGTTTCAATTACATCAATGCTCTTCCCAATTTTATATACATGCCAAAGGACTTAGCTACAAAAAGAACATGATCAAAGCTATTAGCCATGTACAACAAGGCACTCACCACCACAATGATCATGCACTAAGTCCCCCAAAATACATCATGTGTCCTCAAAATATACATATACATATGGAAATGTAAATAACATATACATCTACTATCCTAGATGAGATGCAATCCAAAATGACAGGCTATCAATGTATGACCGTTTAATCCAAATACGGCCACTTGCCACTAGAGGCTCCTGCAGAATCTGTACCTGAAAGGAGATCCCCACAACATGGGGTGAGATATATGAATATATCATAATAAACCAGGGGTCCTTGGAGCATCTCTCAACCCCATAGTTCACTTCACAATATAATAGCAATACACAATAAATAATGCACTAAATACATATCCATGCAGTGTGCCAAACATCTCCAGGAGAAATCCCTTGAGCTCTTGTTGTCCTAAGGATACTTAGATGCAAATAGTCCTACTGATCAGAGAATCTACCAAGTATGATTTACGCATCATAATGCAACATACAAACATAAGGAAACACCATCCTATGCCACACCCAAAGCATACACATACGTATAACAAAGCATTACACTACTTTAATGCATTTACATACACTATCAACAACCACTACTCATTCAGGGCTTGGTGGAACAATAAAGGAATTTACACCCAAGGTCCGAAAGCTTACTCAATGCTCCAATTCAACCTTTGTTCACCAACAAGTTTGCAACCAATCAAACTTTGAATTCAAGCTACAACTTTGCAAAATACACACATACACCAAGGTGTCACACAATCAATTAATACAAGTTAATGAATATCAATATATTCATCAACAAAACAACAATTCCACACCACATCTTAGCATGAACTTACCTATCCAAATGAGCTAATCAAGCTCCATAGCTTGCTCCAATGTGTGGTCACTCAAAGTTGGTCCACTTGCCTCAATCCTAGCAACACAAGGGACACAATCAATCATCCAACTCACTAATTGCTCAAAATGCTAGAACACTCACAAGTCCAAGCATGAATTTTCCAATATATTGAACAATAACCAAATGACTAACAAAACTCATTTCTACCGTTTATTTATCATTTCTAACAACTATTACAAAGGGATTAAGCTTAAATCAAACTCAAACTCATACCACCCACAATGACACTATTCATCATCTTCCTCAAACCTATAATCTCCATGAAAACAAAGTTCAAGGACTGGAAACTTACCACAAATGCTTGCACAACCATGGAATGAGTGTTCCCTAAGTCTCCAAGAAGTGAAATGCTCTCAATCAATAATTACTTCTATCTTTATAGGATCAACCTGATGAATCAAAGTGATGATGTGGTTGCCACGTACACAAAATTAATTTACTTTATGATTCCACGTCAACATAGTTTGGATGATAACAAACAAACTCAAAGAAGAATGCTCAAGGACGAAGCAACATCCAAAAGAAACTCAAGCAAATGTGAAAGCATGCAATTCAAGCATCGAGTCTCAAGCATCAATCCAAGTCCAAAATCTCAATGGTATATTCATTTAGGACTTAGGAAAAATATGTAAAGGTGTATAGATTCTAGCATTGCATGAGCTCAAGTTCATTCATCACTCATTTGTTTCAAAAGAATGCATCTTTAAAGAAATGTCAAAATAAAAGGTTTGATTTGTCCAAAATTGGTTTGGAAAGGTACCTACATGATTTAAACACTTCTAGACAGTTTCCATAACCAATTACATGCATTCCAAGTCATAGAAACCTTTTTGAAAGAAAAGAAACTCAGAATTCGTGCAAAAAGGGTGCTGCCATGAAATATTCGGATATTGCACTTAGAATATCCGGATATCAATATCCGGATATGAGCCCGACAAATATCCGGATATGTACGGATCACAACGGCTATAATCGGCTAGAAACGGCTAGTTTTCAAATGAGGTGTCAATATAAATACCCACATCAATAGTGATGAATAGTGGACGACCATAGATCATTTACTGAACCTTTATTACTCATTTTAGCCTATTATTGCTCATTGATTACTTACTTTACTCAATGCATACACTTGAGCTCATCTTTCCTTTGAAGCTATACATCTATTAGTTCTTCAATTTGTGTAATCTGTACTTTGAGAGTACTTAACCATTTTTAATCACCTCAATCTTACTTCTTGAATTGAGAGGGGAGTGAACCATATACTAGAAAGGTCACCAGATTCCTAAGAAAATTTGAAGTGAAAAATTGTGAGGCATCAAGAGCCCAAAGTCTTGAAAGGTTGTAGAGGTTTGTCAAGCACCCTCAAGCTTGATAATTAGTGAAAAGAATTGATCGAGCTGCTTCAGTCTGGACGTAGGTCACGGTGGTGGTGACCGAACCAGGATACATCTAGTTTGCAATTTCTCTAACCTTTACCTCTTTACCTAAGTATTGAAATTGCATTTTTAGATTGTCTTTATCTATTCGCTTGCTTACTTTGTTGATCTCTACACTTGCTCTCACACTTAGGTTTTTCCTTATTAAATCACTTTATTGAAGAAATAGTCTTTAAAATATCAAAGGATGCACTTTGCGAAAAGATTTTGTAAAACTCAATTCACCCCCTTCTTGAGTATTGAAGCCACTTATCCAACACAACCGCCACTTCCTCAGCAGAAATGACGTGACCCAAGAATTGCACTTGAGAAAGCCAAAATTCGCATTTTCAAGGCTTTGCATACAACTGTTTCTCTCTAAGAATTTGCAACACAGTTCTCAAGTGATCCGCATGCTCTTTCTTACTCTTGGAATATATCAGGATATCATCAATAAACATAATCACGAATTGATCCAGAAACGGCTTAAAAATACGATTCATGTAATCCATAAACACCGCCGGAGCATTAGTGAGTCCAAATGGAATTACCTGGTACTCATAATGTCCGTATCTAGATCGGAAAGCAGTCTTCGGAATATCTTCCTGTTTAATTCGGATCTGATGATAACCCGATCTCAAATCAATTTTTGAAAAGACACAAGCACCCCTCAACTGATCAAGCAAATCATCTATGCGAGGGAGAGGATACTTGTTCTTAATAGTAACCTTATTCAGCTGACGGTAATCATTGCATAATCTCATGCTACCGTCCTTTTTCTTGACAAATATAACTGGTTCTCTCCACGTGGATACACTTGACCTTATAAACTGCTTAGCCGAAAGCTCTTCAATATGCTTCTTTAACTCGGCTAATTCCAGTGGTGACATCCGATAAGGAGCCAAAGAAATAGGCCCCACACCAGGCAATAAATCAATCGTGAACTCAATCTCTCTAGGAGGTGGAAGTTGCGGAATCTCATCTGGAAACACATCCACAAACTCCCTCACCACGGGAATAATGTCGATCTCCTCATGACTTCCACCCACTAAAACCCCCACAAAGACATATCCCAATGGCCCGGCCCTCAAAGCCTTTATAACCTGCAACACAGATAGATGTGGGGAAGAACTAGTCGCAGCATCATCAGCAGAAAGCACAATCTTTTTTCCACAGTAGTCTATCATAGCACAGTTCTTTGATAACCAATTCATTCCCAAAATAACTTGAAGACTAATCATAAGCAGACAAATAAAATCCAGCACGTAGTCTTGGCCTTCATATTTAA